AGCGCTAACCCTAACTTACAGAACCTGGAGGAGAGCATAGAGTACAATGAGATCCTAGAGTGAGTGAAATATTCTTCTCATATATATTTATAAATTCAAGATAGATGTTTAACGGTTTAAAATCTTTGTAATGTATTTTTTTTACAAAGAAAAAAATATTTGTTTTTCTTTGTATATGCATATTTTTTTGTACTTTGTACTTTATATGTATATGCAGCAACATAGACTTAATTTATGACCTAACATGTGTAATTAATATATTTTATTTATTTATTTTTAATAGGTCTCTTATAGTCACCATGGATGCATTTATTTAACCTTTAAATACAGTAATATTTTGAAATTACACCATTAATTATTATAATTGTAATGTTGAAAACAGTTGTGCAGCTTAATATTTTTGTGCAAATCTTGATACATTTTTCAGATTTTTTTGATGACTAGGAAGTTCAAAAGAACAACATTTATTTGAGATAGAAATCTTTAAGTCTCTTTTGTCACTTTTGATCAATTTAATGCATCCCTGCTAAACAAAAGTATTCAAAAGTACACTAAACGTTTGAACGCCAATGTTTTATATACATTTGTACATATACCGTCAATATATATTGCGTGTATATATATTTATAATATATTTGTGAAAATAATAAGGCTAAGGTCATAGTAGACTTACATTTTATCCACAACACAATACAAATAACTATGTAAACAAGGAGTAAGTAAATTGCTCATGAATACTGATAAGTTACTGTTGAGTAAGTAAATAAGGCTGATTCCATAATTGCTAATGTGATTACTTTCAAACTAACCACTCTCGTTTGGCCACAGGTGGGTGAACTCTCTCCAGCCCGCTCGCGTGACCCGCTGGGGAGGAATGATCTCCACACCCGACGCCGTCCTCCAGGCCGTCATCAAACGATCGCTCATAGACAGTGGATGCCCGTTGTCGATCGTTAATGACCTCATCGAGAACGCCCACGAGCGTAACTGGCCCCAAGGCTTGGCCACGCTGGAGACGCGGCAGATGAACCGCCGATATTACGAAAACTATGTGGCCAAGCGCATTCCGGGTAAGCAGGCCGTGGTGGTGATGGCCTGCGAGAACCAGCACATGGGTGAAGATATGATTCTGGAGCCGGGGTTGGTTATGATCTTCGCTCATGGCGTTGAGGAGATCTTATAGTCTGTACATAGGTGGGTGCCAATGATGAAAAGCAGAAAGGGGTTTACAGCGACTGAATTGATTTCCCCCCTCTAAAAAATTCTCAGTTCATCCCACTTAAAATATCAAGACCTCTTTGGCAGTCGTTACCTCAAATTTTAAGGAAGGACACCGGCAGAGAAGCTCTCCGCTCGTGGACCTCCAGCATTCCCTATTCTCTTTGCCTTAAATGGACATTTTCCAAAAAGTGGACCCTAATGACAAAAACCAACTTGAAACATTATCAGGGACGATGGTACACGTATGTTTTAACATTAACATTGAAATCAAAAGGATTTGAAGTGATGTCTAATTTCCCCTTTAACATTTATTTCCCTCTTGAGAGCAAATATGTGTCACTCCCAGCTTAAGACAAGTTAAGATTCTTGTAAATACAGATGATAAAGAAATATAGACAAATATGCTATCTGTTCTTGTTCTAATAGAATAGTGGACATTTTTGCTGTCTTCATTTCAGTTTGCAATTTAGAGTAGAGTGCTTTGACTACCATGGATCTCAATCTTTCTTTTTTTCCCCCCCCAATAGCGCTATGATTAAAGTATGCTAGATAAAGAACTCAGCTCGGTGTTTGCACTGTGTGGTGATTGGACAAACAAGATGTCATGAATCTCGTTTTGTGAAGATGTTTGTTTTTCTTGAGTGGAAAGAGTGATGGAGAGGATATATATGACGGAAATCAACAGCTGATTTGATACCTTTTATTCCACTCTTTAGTTTTCAATTCAATTTTCTCCAGAAATAATTTTTTTTTTCTTCTTCTACTGGCATCACTGGCTATTACACTATTATAAATCAGAACCAGATTTTTCTTTAAGATGGTCTTAGTGACCTCAAAGTTTTTTGTCTAGTAGTTTCACCATATGCAAACCCATAAATGATGGATGAAAAGCTTATGAATCAATATGAAGTATAAAAACATTGTGAAAAATGACCAACTTACCGCTGATGTCTGTGGGATCTCCTGCAGATGCTCAACCATATCTGGACCTTTTTACTGTGGTTTACATCAGAACTGTTTTTTTTTTTTATCCATCATTTGCCACAGCACCTCTTGATGAATTTCAAATAATAAAGAGAGATGGAATGGTTGAATGTTTGTGTATATTGTGCAATTGACTCCTGGATAAGTGGATAAGAATTTATTTTGCATATTTTACGTACCTTCGTTGTACATAGTTGATTTAAGAATCCGTTTAATTTGTGTTGTACGATAGTTGTCTCTGCAACCAAAGTGTTTTATTGTGTTGTATGCACATCGTGCTTGCTTTTTTGTTGTTG